TACGACGACCACAAGGCTTGCTGCGGCTCGAATCCATCTTCAACCTGCATGGGATGAGGAGTTATATGCACACCCTTCTTCATCTCCTTAACCGGCGCTGATAGTTTTTACAACGACCACAAGGCTTGCTGCGGCTCGAATCCATCTTCAACCTGCATGGGATGAGGAGTTATATGCACACCCTTCTTCATCTCCTTAACCGGCGCCGATAGTTTTTACAACGACCACAAGGCTTGCTGCGGCTCGAATCCATCTTCAACCTGCATGGGATGAGGAGTTATATGCACACCCTTCTTCATCTCCTTAACCGGCGCTGATAGTTTTTACAACGACCACAAGGCTTGCTGCGGCTCGAATCCATCTTCAACCTGCATGGGATGAGGAGTTATATGCACACCCTTCTTCATCTCCTTAACCGGCGCTGATAGTTTTTACAACGACCACAAGGCTTGCTGCGGCTCGAATCCATCTTCAACCTGCATGGGATGAGGAGTTATATGCACACCCTTCTTCATCTCCTTAACCGGCGCTGATAGTTTTTACAACGACCACAAGGCTTGCTGCGGCTCGAATCCATCTTCAACCTGCATGGGATGAGGAGTTATATGCACACCCTTCTTCATCTCCTTAACCGGGGCTGATAGTTTTTACAACGACCACAAGGCTTGCTGCGGCTCGAATCCATCTTCAACCTGCATGGGATGAGGAGTTATATGCACACCCTTCTTCATCTCCTTAACCGGCGCTGATAGTTTTTACAACGACCACAAGGCTTGCTGCGGCTCGAATCCATCTTCAACCTGCATGGGATGAGGAGTTATATGCACACCCTTCTTCATCTCCTTAACCGGCGCTGATAGTTTTTACAACGACCACAAGGCTTGCTGCGGCTCGAATCCATCTTCAACCTGCATGGGATGAGGAGTTATATGCACACCCTTCTTCATCTCCTTAACCGGCGCTGATAGTTTTTACAACGACCACAAGGCTTGCTTCGGCTCGAATCCATCTTCAACCTGCATGGGATGAGGAGTTATATGCACACCCTTCTTCATCTCCTTAACCGGCGCTGATAGTTTTTACAACGACCACAAGGCTTGCTGCGGCTCGAATCCATCTTCAACCTGCATGGGATGAGGAGTTATATGCACACCCTTCTTCATCTCCTTAATCGGCGCTAGTAGTTTTTACGACGACCACAAGGCTTGCTGCGGCTCAAATCCATCTTCAACCTGCATGGGATGAGGAGTTATATGCACACCCTTCTTCATCTCCTTAATCGGCGCTAGTAGTTTTTACGACGACCACAAGGCTTGCTGCGGCTCGAATCCATCTTCAACCTGCATGGGATGAGGAGTTATATGCACACCCTTCTTCATCTCCTTAACCGGCGCTGATAGTTTTTACAACGACCACAAGGCTTGCTGCGGCTCGAATCCATCTTCAACCTGCATGGGATGAGGAGTTATATGCACACCCTTCTTCATCTCCTTAACCGGCGCTGATAGTTTTTACAACGACCACAAGGCTTGCTTCGGCTCGAATCCATCTTCAACCTGCATGGGATGAGGAGTTATATGCACACCCTTCTTCATCTCCTTAACCGGCGCTGATAGTTTTTACAACGACCACAAGGCTTGCTGCGGCTCGAATCCATCTTCAACCTGCATGGGATGAGGAGTTATATGCACACCCTTCTTCATCTCCTTAATCGGCGCTAGTAGTTTTTACGACGACCACAAGGCTTGCTGCGGCTCGAATCCATCTTCAACCTGCATGGGATGAGGAGTTATATGCACACCCTTCTTCATCTCCTTAATCGGCGCTAGTAGTTTTTACGACGACCACAAGGCTTGCTGCGGCTCGAATCCATCTTCAACCTGCATGGGATGAGGAGTTATATGCACACCCTTCTTCATCTCCTTAACCGACGCTGATAGTTTTTACAACGACCACAAGGCTTGCTGCGGCTCGAATCCATCTTCAACCTGCATGGGATGAGGAGTTATATGCACACCCTTCTTCATCTCCTTAACCGGCGCTGATAGTTTTTACAACGACCACAAGGCTTGCTGCGGCTCGAATCCATCTTCAACCTGCATGGGATGAGGAGTTATATGCACACCCTTCTTCATCTCCTTAACCGGGGCTGATAGTTTTTACAACGACCACAAGGCTTGCTGCGGCTCGAATCCATCTTCAACCTGCATGGGATGAGGAGTTATATGCACACCCTTCTTCATCTCCTTAACCGGCGCTGATAGTTTTTACAACGACCACAAGGCTTGCTGCGGCTCGAATCCATCTTCAACCTGCATGGGATGAGGAGTTATATGCACACCCTTCTTCATCTCCTTAACCGACGCTGATAGTTTTTACAACGACCACAAGGCTTGCTGCGGCTCGAATCCATCTTCAACCTGCATGGGATGAGGAGTTATATGCACACCCTTCTTCATCTCCTTAACCGGCGCCGATAGTTTTTACAACGACCACAAGGCTTGCTGCGGCTCGAATCCATCTTCAACCTGCATGGGATGAGGAGTTATATGCACACCCTTCTTCATCTCCTTAATCGGCGCTAGTAGTTTTTACGACGACCACAAGGCTTGCTGCGGCTCGAATCCATCTTCAACCTGCATGGGATGAGGAGTTATATGCACACCCTTCTTCATCTCCTTAATCGGCGCTAGTAGTTTTTACGACGACCACAAGGCTTGCTGCGGCTCGAATCCATCTTCAACCTGCATGGGATGAGGAGTTATATGCACAGCCTTCTTCATCTCCTTAATCGGCGCTAGTAGTTTTTACGACGACCACAAGGCTTGCTGCGGCTCGAATCCATCTTCAACCTGCATGGGATGAGGAGTTATATGCACACCCTTCTTCATCTCCTTAACCGGCGCTGATAGCTTTTACAACGACCACAAGGCTTGCTGCGGCTCGAATCCATCTTCAACCTGCATGGGATGAGGAGTTATATGCACACCCTTCTTCATCTCCTTAACCGGCGCTGATAGTTTTTACAACGACCACAAGGCTTGCTGCGGCTCGAATCCATCTTCAACCTGCATGGGATGAGGAGTTATATGCACACCCTTCTTCATCTCCTTAACCGGCGCTGATAGTTTTTACAACGACCACAAGGCTTGCTGCGGCTCGAATCCATCTTCAACCTGCATGGGATGAGGAGTTATATGCACACCCTTCTTCATCTCCTTAACCGGCGCTGATAGTTTTTACAACGACCACAAGGCTTGCTGCGGCTCGAATCCATCTTCAACCTGCATGGGATGAGGAGTTATATGCACACCCTTCTTCATCTCCTTAACCGGCGCTGATAGTTTTTACAACGACCACAAGGCTTGCTTCGGCTCGTATCCATCTTCAACCTGCATGGGATGAGGAGTTATATGCACACCCTTCTTCATCTCCTTAACCGGCGCTGATAGTTTTTACAACGACCACAAGGCTTGCTGCGGCTCGAATCCATCTTCAACCTGCATGGGATGAGGAGTTATATGCACACCCTTCTTCATCTCCTTAATCGGCGCTAGTAGTTTTTACGACGACCACAAGGCTTGCTGCGGCTCGAATCCATCTTCAACCTGCATGGGATGAGGAGTTATATGCACACCCTTCTTCATCTCCTTAATCGGCGCTAGTAGTTTTTACGACGACCACAAGGCTTGCTGCGGCTCGAATCCATCTTCAACCTGCATGGGATGAGGAGTTATATGCACACCCTTCTTCATCTCCTTAACCGGCGCTGATAGTTTTTACAACGACCACAAGGCTTGTTGCGGCTCGAATCCATCTTCAACCTGCATGGGATGAGGAGTTATATGCACACCCTTCTTCATCTCCTTAACCGGCGCTGATAGTTTTTACAACGACCACAAGGCTTGCTGCGGCTCGAATCCATCTTCAACCTGCATGGGATGAGGAGTTATATGCACACCCTTCTTCATCTCCTTAATCGGCGCTATTAGTTTTTACGACGACCACAAGGCTTGCTGCGGCTCGAATCCATCTTCAACCTGCATGGGATGAGGAGTTATATGCACACCCTTCTTCATCTCCTTAATCGGCGCTAGTAGTTTTTACGACGACCACAAGGCTTGCTGCGGCTTGAATCCATCTTCAACCTGCATGGGATGAGGAGTTATATGCACACCCTTCTTCATCTCCTTAATCGGCGCTAGTAGTTTTTACGACGACCACAAGGCTTGCTGCGGCTCGAATCCATCTTCAACCTGCATGGGATGAGGAGTTGTATGCACACCCTTCTTCATCTCCTTAATCGGCGCTAGTAGTTTTTACGACGACCACAAGGCTTGCTGCGGCTCGAATCCATCTTCAACCTGCATGGGATGAGGAGTTATATGCACACCCTTCTTCATCTCCTTAACCGGCGCTGATAGTTTTTACGACGACCACAAGGCTTGCTGCGGCTCGAATCCATCTTCAACCTGCATGGGATGAGGAGTTGTATGCACACCCTTCTTCATCTCCTTAATCGGCGCTAGTAGTTTTTACGACGACCACAAGGCTTGCTGCGGCTCGAATCCATCTTCAACCTGCATGGGATGAGGAGTTATATGCACACCCTTCTTCATCTCCTTAATCGGCGCTAGTAGTTTTTACGACGACCACAAGGCTTGCTGCGGCTCGAATCCATCTTCAACCTGCATGGGATGAGGAGTTGTATGCACACCCTTCTTCATCTCCTTAACACACCCCCTCCCGGTCTAACCCTGTCTGTTCTTTTAACGTGTGTGTGCTTGTAAGGTTGTGGCATGGTGTGTGTGGTTTGGCTCGGTGTTGTATGGCTTAGCATGTATGTGATGCCATGGTATGGCATGTGGAGTGGCACTGGATGGCATCAATCGGCATGCTTGATATCTCATGGCGTGGCATGGCATGCGCATGGCATGGCATGACGTGGCATGGCATGGGCATGGCAACAGGAGGACGACCTAACAGATGAGCAAGGGCCCATGGTGGCCACTCTCACTCGCAGTGCTTCCATGCTCACATCCCTCATCTCCGACGTCATTGGGGTGGCCCAACGGCAAGAGATCAAGTAAGGAAAGGATATAGTACCGCATTGAATTGCACAGAACTGCCCTGGACCGCATGGTACCGCATTGAATCGCATGCAGGGGCGGACCCATGGTGGCTGCTCTCTCTCTCTCGCAGCGCCTCCATGCTAACATCGCTCATTTCTGACGTCTTCGGGGTGGCACAGCACCAAGAGATCAAGTAAGGAGTGATGCTGCACTGACCGCACTGAACCGCACTCTTGCCTGTCTTGTGTTAGAGGCAAATGCTGCACGATGCAGCATCCCTGGCATGGCTCTTGATGCGAGCCAAGGGGCTCAACTTCCCCGTGTCCCTCCCCACCCCACCTTCCCCTCCCTGTCCCTCCCCACCCCACCTTCCCCTCCCTGTCCCTCCCCACCCCACCTTCCCCTCCCTGTCCCTCCCCATCCCAGTCTCGTGCTGGAGCACCGTCCGTTCGATCTAAGGCGAATGCTGCACGACGCGGCGTCCCTGGCATGGCCCATGATGCGAGCCAAGGGACTGAGCTTCTCAGTGGTGATTGCGAGGGAGGTGCCTCGGCACGTGGTGGGGGATGAGCGGCGATTGCTGCGCGTGGTGCTGCACATCATAGGCCATGCCATTGACTCCACGCATGAGGTAAAGAGGGAGGAGTGCCGAGTGATGCCGAGTGGTGCTGTGTGGTGCAGCAGCAGGGAGGTGCCTCAGCACGTGGTGGGGGATGAGCGGCGATTGCTGCGCATGGTGCTGCATATTATCAGGCATGCCATCGACTCCACCGATGAGGTAAAGAGGGAGGAGTGCTGAGTGGTGCTGAATGGTGGTGCTGCACGTTGTAGGCCATGCGATCGGCTCCACTCATGAGGTGAGGGGAATGTGTGCTGCTTTCGCTGCATACTTGTGTGCTGCTTGTGCTCATGCATGCCAGAGGGACGTGCTGCTGCTGCTGCTGCTGCTTGCCTCAACACGCATGCACTGCTGGGCTGAAGGAGCCTACCTACTCGCAATGTGGCTGTGGGGGGGTATCAGACGACAGTCACAGCCCAGAATAGCTGCTCTGAAGCCACCTCACCACCCCGCCTCCTTGCTCTCTCCCTCCCCTCTTTACCCTGCAGGAAACCATTTCTGTGGCTGTGGAGCTATCAGACGGCAGTCACGGGCCGGCATAGTTGGTCCGGAAGCACGACCCAGCCTATGCGCCTTTGGGAATTGTCAAACGTGACACAAGCATCTCCCTCCCCTCGCCCCTGCAGGGAACCATTTCTGTGGCTGCAGGGCTATCAGACGGCAGTCACGGGCCGGCACGGAAGCCACATATCGAGCATCCTTCACATGCCTTCCACTCAGCTGTATGTTCCATTCCCTCATTCCCTCCTTTGTTTGTTTGTTTTTTTCTCTCGTTTGATCCACTGCGCGTCCTTTCGACGGCCTTGCTGTACGTTTGCGCATTTCATGTGCACGTTCGATCCATGTGCACGTTCGATCCATGTGCACGTTCGATCCATGTGCACGTTCGATCCATGTGCAGGTTCGATCCAAATGCACGTTCGATCCATGTGCACGTTCGATCCATGTGCACGTTCGATCCATGTGCACGTTCGATCCATGTGCACGTTCGATCCATGTGCACGTTCGATCCATGTGCACGTTCGATCCATGTGCACGTTCGATCCATGTGCACGTTCGATCCATGTGCACGTTCGATCCATGTGCACGTTCGATCCATGTGCACGTTCGATCCATGTGCACGCTCGATCCATGTGCACGCTCGATCCATGTGCACGTTCGATCCATGTGCACGTTCGATCCATGTGCACGTTCGATCCATGTGCACGTTCGATCCATGTGCACGTTCGATCCATGTGCACGCTCGATCCATGTGCACGTTCGATCCATGTGCACGTTCGATCCATGTGCACGTTCGATCCATGTGCACGTTCGATCCATGTGCACGTTCGATCCATGTGCACGTTCGATCCATGTGCACGTTCGATCCATGTGCACGTTCGATCCATGTGCACGTTCGATCCATGTGCACGCTCGATCCATGTGCACGTTCGATCCATGTGCACGTTCGATCCATGTGCACGTTCGATCCATGTGCACGTTCGATCCATGTGCACGTTCGATCCATGTGCACGTTCGATCCATGTGCACGCTCGATCCATGTGCACGTTCGATCCATGTGCACGTTCGATCCATGTGCACGTTCGATCCATGTGCACGCTCGATCCATGTGCACGTTCGATCCATGTGCACGTTCGATCCATGTGCACGTTCGATCCATGTGCACGTTCGATCCATGTGCACGTTCGATCCATGTGCACGTTCGATCCATGTGCACGTTCGATCCATGTGCACGTTCGATCCATGTGCACGCTCGATCCATGTGCACGCTCGATCCATGTGCACGTTCGATCCATGTGCACGTTCGATCCATGTGCACGTTCGATCCATGTGCACGTTCGATCCATGTGCACGCTCGATCCATGTGCACGCTCGATCCATGTGCACGTTCGATCCATGTGCACGTTCGATCCATGTGCACGTTCGATCCATGTGCACGTTCGATCCATGTGCACGTTCGATCCATGTGCACGCTCGATCCATGTGCACGTTCGATCCATGTGCACGTTCGATCCATGTGCACGCTCGATCCATGTGCACGTTCGATCCATGTGCACGTTCGATCCATGTGCACGTTCGATCCATGTGCACGTTCGATCCATGTGCACGTTCGATCCATGTGCACGCTCGATCCATGTGCACGCTCGATCCATGTCTCAAAAACGAGATCGCCTTTGAGAGTTCTCAAAATCACGATCGCCTTTGAGAACTCTCGAAAAAAGGCAAAGAATTAGCTTTGGAAGATTCCATCCGTCACAATCCCCTCTTCCGATCTCTCCCAGATCCCCCGCCAGGACTACGTGACGGTGCTCGTGTTTTGGAGACGCTAATTCTTTGCTGCCGATCGTGTTTTTGAGACAGTCACAGTCACAGACGCAGGAGGGAAGGAGTCCAGGCATGCTCTCACATCCTTTCCACCCCGCTCCTCCCTCTCTCTTCCCCACTTCCCTGACCTCCTCTATCCCCTCCTCTCCCCTTCTCCCCTCCCCACTCCTAACAGATCTCACGTCAGGACCATGTACGAGTGCGAATCACAGTCACAGACTCAGGAGGGGAGGAGTCCAAGCAGGCAACGTTTAACCCGCACTTTATTCCCCTCATGCTCCGTTGCTCCCTTCCCTTCCACTCCACCCTTCTCCTTCCCCACCCTATGCTCCCAGATCTCCCGTCAGGACCATGTACGAGTGCGAATCACAGTCACAGACTCAGGAGGGGAGGAGTCCAAGCAGGCCCTACTCCACCGCTTTGAGGAAGCAAGGGAGCGGGAGCAGCTGCTAAAGGGGCAGGCTATAGAGGGGATGAAGGCCCTGGGGCAGGATCCATCAAACGTGGGCATAGGGCTGTTTCTATCTGGGCCGGAGGAGGGTTCGGTGGGGTGCACACGTGTGCAGGGAGGGATGGAGTCACAGGGGAGGTTGGGGTCGCAAGGGGGAATGGAATCGCAGGGTGTGCAGGCACTTGCACATGCACATGCACATGCACAACATGCAAATGCACAACATGCACGTGAACATGAACATACACATCCGCATGCTCCTGCGCATACACATGCACATGATCCAGACCACAGGGTCAGTCGGACGTCCAGCAACGAGAGCTCCTACAGCCGAGCCTCACACACCCAGCCTCCTGCACAGATGCCCCACCCTCTTTCGCCCGACCCTCTGGCTTCCCACCCCCTGGCATCCCACCCCATGGTTTCCCACCCTCTCACTCAACCTCTGCCCGACACAACAAGCCGTCTCAGAGACACCACGTCTAGGGATACTGTTCCCTCGGCACAGTCCCACCTCCCCCAGTCTGACCCGGGCGACGCTTCAGCTGCAGCAGCTGTGGAAGTTTCTGCTGCATTAGCAGCTATTGAAGCACCTCAAAGATCGGCAGCAGAGGATTTGAGGGAGGCGGAGGCAGCAGAGGCGGAGAGGGAGCGGCAGGCGAGGATAAGCGAGCAGTTCGTCGCTCCCTCCTGCGCCATCTGTCAGAAGCTACTCCTGCTCATGGACGGGCATTACTGGAACGCCACCCAGCCTGCTGATCCCGGCGCTGCTACTGCGTTTTCTGTGCGGTTACTGTGTGACCGTACGAGGAGAAGGCACAGGAGGAGGAGGCATATGATGAATAGTTTGGAAGGATCGGGGGATGAGGGGTCCGGGAGTGAGGAGGATGGGGAGGGGGATGGGGAGGGGGAGGTGGGGAGTGATAGTGACGAGTCGTCGTGCTCGATTGGGGCGTATATTCAAGAGCTGGAGGGGATTCGTGTGCTGGTGAGTGATGCAAGTGACTCTGTTTTGAGACGTCTCAAAATTCAAGTTCTGGTGAGTGATGCAAGTGATTTCTTAGGTGGCTCAAGCGTTATACACTCGATTGGGACGCATATTTAAGAGGTGGAGGGGATTCGTGTGCTTGTGAGTGAGGATCAAGGATACTCGACTTTGTGATTAGGGGGTATGTTCAGTAGCTGGGGTTCATTGGTGAGAGGTCTTTTGAGGCGCCTCAGAAGTCGTTTCAGTAGCTGGGGTTCACTGGTGAGAGATGCAAGTGCTACTTAGGTAAATCAGACCTCATGCTCGCTTGGGGCGTATATTCAAGAGCTTAACGGCATTCGTCTGCTGGTGAGTGAGTGAGTGAATGGGAGCGTGAGTGAGTGAGTGAGTGAGTCCTGTGTTGGATGCCCTTCGTGTCTGTCTGCCTGAATCCCTCTTCCCCGCACCCTTTCCCCCACATGCTCCCCCACTTCCCCCATCCCTTTCCCCTTTCTCCTGCCCGTCAACCAGCTTGTGGAAGACAACGTGGCCAATCGCATCGCGACACATCAGCTGCTCCTGTCGCTGCACTGCCACGTCACCCTAGCCGCCAGCACACAGGAGTGCCTGTCAATTCTCTCGGGCAGCAGGAAGAGCCCGTCAGCCTCCCCCATTGCAGACATTGTTCTTCTGGATATCTGCATGCCCGATGTCGATGGGCTTGAAGCAGCCCGCTGCATACACAAGATGTTCCGGTGAGTCATTCCTTGGGTGCTTCGGGGCCGTACAAACAAGCATACCTGCCTGGGAATTCTCCCGGGCAGCAGAGAGGAAGAGCCCGTCAGCCTCCCCCGTTGCAGGCATTGTCCTTCTAGGTATCTGCATGCCGGATGTCGATGGGCTGGAAGCAGCCCGCTGCATACACAACATGTTCCCCTGAGTCATTTCTTATGCGCCCCAAAGACGTATTACATGATACATGCCTGCCTGGAAATTCTCTCTAGCAGCAGTTGTGTTTTGGGACGACCCAAAACACACTTCGGCGCTGCAGACACATACCTGCTGGTGATTCTTTTCCAGCAGAAAAAGACCATCATGCATAGGCGTTGGCCGTGTATTTCCCATCGTCTAGAAACAGTCCATGTTTGTATACGGTACATTAAGTGGTCTTATTTCGTCCTGATTCCCAACACCCTTATGATTGTCTCGTTGCCTTTCCCACTAAACTAAGCAGTCCTGACAATCGACCATTTATTGTCGGCATAACGGCAAGAACGGATGAGGTTCTTGTGGCAGCATGTGGGACAGTGGGAATGGATGAGGTTCTTTTGAAGCCGGTTAGCCTACGGCAATTAGCAGCTGCCCTCTGCCATGTTGTAGCCGCTATGTGAAGCTGGATGCTCTACATATTTGAATTGTAAGTTTGTATAAGCCATTGGTTATGTGACGTGTGGCAAGAGCTCAAGGTAGGATATAGCAGTTTGAGCTATTTACCGTATGTCGTCTTCCTATTTATAGAGTCTTCTGAAGCACGCATGTCTAATCGAACAACTCGATATCATCACGGAACTTTGGAAGCTTCGATAAGGGGTCCATTGCGCTTGTCCCACAGCCCACTTCATCCCTCGCGCACACCCTCCACCTCCAGATTGTCCGCGTGTCAGATGTTCCATTGAGCCGCGCAAATGTTTTCCGCAGCACCCGCACTCATCCTCCAATCCCCCGCCTCGTTTTCCGCCTTCTGCAGCTCACCCTCCCCCTACGCTCTGCCTTTTCCCCGAGGGCCCCCCCCCCCCCCCCTTCCCCTCCCACCCCCAGTCGTGCGGGGATTCAGGGTTCCTGAATACTGAGACCTAGGGATTTACTCAAGGAAATAGCAGAACCTACTTAGTAATAATTAGTCTGGAATTCCGCACGAGTTTAGTTTTCTTTGCCCTGATCTCACGTTTCGGTGCAAGACCCTCGCTCGCGTATATTAAGCGCTTCTAGAAAGTATTTCTTATTACGTGGTGGTCGCCGGTGGGTGTTATGGTCGAATTCCTAGTTCCTCGGACCTTAGGGCAAGAAGTTATTCAATAACTCGCGATAACGTCCCATGACAAATCTCTGCTACAATTATTTTGTCGAATCTATCTCCTTATTCGCCGTCTACTGTCGGCCATTGCTTGTGCCGGTTAGTTAGGCGGCTTGACGACTTCACAATTTGACGGCTTGCTAGTTTCACGGCATTCGTCAAGACCGAGTGTAGTTAGCGGTACTGATTCCCAGACAGACCAAAGCGCCTCGCGTTACACAAAAGCGGCAGGGGACCGAGTGCAAGGGCCCGAGTACCAGTTCTCAAATAGTCGTTCTTAGATATTACTAGAGCGGGGGACCGAGTGTAGTCAGCCAAAATGCCGCCGAAAAAGGACGCGAAGGTGTCTAAAGCGGATCTCGCGAGGAAGCAGAAGATCGTGGAGGATAAGACGTTCGGGCTGAAGAACAAGAATAAGAGCAACAAGGTTCAGAAGTATGTGCAGAGCATGCAGCAGTCCGTTCAGGCGACCGCCAGAAAACAGGCCGCCGAAGATCCAACCGTCGCCAGAAAGGTAATTTCGTGAACCTTATTGGTTGGTAACCCGACTCGTATTCGCGACGACTGGAGATTCGATAGGTTAATCGGGAAGTGGCTGCTTGTTGATGCCATCACTACGATGCTATCTCCAGTTACTTGTTGATATCACTTTTGAGAATTCTCAAAAAGTGATTTCAATATGGCCTTGCTACGTTTTGTATCGCGTGTATTAGCTTGACAAGTCTCCACAGCTATGAGGATACACCGGTTTAGAATGGATTGGGCTAATGCACGTGAATGGGTTGCCTTTATTTATGTGGTCATGTGGGTTAACTGTTTTGATGTGCTTGTATGGGTTGCCTGTGTTGATGTGCTTGTATGGGTTGCCTGTGTTGATGTGCTTGTATGGGTTGCCTGTGTTGATGTGCTTGTATGGGTTGGTTGTGTTGATGAGCTTGTATGGGTTGACTCTGGTGATGTTCTTGTATGAAACGACCGTGTCCATGTGCTTGTATCGGGAGTGCAGAAGAAGAAGGAGGAGGAGGCGAAGCGGGAGAAGGAGCTGAACGAGCTGTTCAGAGTGGCCATCACGCAGCCCAAGGTCCCGCCAGGCGTGGACCCCAAGTCCATTGTCTGCGAGTTCTTCCGCCACGGGCAGTGCAGCAAGGGCTTTAAGTGCAAGTTCTCGCACGATCTGAGCGTGGAGCGCAAGGGCGAGAAGATCGACCTGTACAGCGACCAGCGGGATGAGGAAGGTAAGGGGGAAGCTGGGTTGGGGGACGAGAGGGGAGGCGGTGGGGGGTTGGGGGGGAGGGTGGGGAAGAGAGAAAGAGAGTGTGACCAGGCGAAGCTGTGGCAGGTGGTGGCGTTTAAGAGCTTTCTCTGTCTCTCTTGGCTCATGCACATCTCTGTGCCCGTGTGCCCGTGTGCCCCTGTGCCTCTGCACGCCGCTGCCTGTGTGAGCGTGCGAGCAGACAGGATGGAGGACTGGGATCAGTCAGGCGAAGCTGGAGCAGGTGGTGGCGTCTAAGAGATCCCCCTGTTTCTCTTTGCTCATGCATCTTTGTACCCCTGTTCCTGCGCGCGCCTCTCCCCCTCCCCCGCGTGTGAGCAGACAAGATGGAGGACTGGGACCAGGCGAAGCTCGAGCAGGTGGTGGCGTCTAAGGGCGCGGAGTACAAGAACGCCAACAAGCCCACCGAGATTGTACGTCAGCTGGGAGTGGTGGAGAGTGGTAGAGATGGAGAGAGATGGGTATGAAGCGGTAGAGAGTGGTAGGAAGGCAGGGAGAGATGAGAAGCTGGAGCAGGTGGTGGCGGCCAAGGGCGTGAAGTACGAAAACGCCAATCCCTCCACCCAGCATTCCTTGCATCCCCTCCCTCCTCCTCTTCCCTGCATTCCCCGCATCCCGCCCATTCCCGTGCTCTCTTCTCCCCCCATCCCCATCCCCCGGCTATCTCACCCCGTTCTTTATCCCCCTTTTCACACCCCCTGCAGGTGTGCAAGCATTTCTTGGAGGCTGTGGAGAAGAAGCAGTACGGGTGGTTCTGGGTGTGCCCCAACGGGGGCAAGGACTGCATGTACCGCCACGTGCTCACTCCCTCATCCTCACCCCTCCATATTCTCTGCATTCTCCCCATTGTCTCTCCCCACCCACCTACACCCCCCTGCTTCCCCCCCTCTCCCCCCCTCTCTCCTCTCATTCCTCCGATCCCCCCTCTCCTCCCATGCAGGTGTGCAAGCATTTCTTGGAAGCTGAGGAGAAGAAGCAGTATGGGTGGTTTTGGGTTTGCCCGAACGGTGGCAAGGACTGCATGTACCGCCACGCGCTCACTCCCTCATCTCTCTGATCCTTGCTCCTCCCGTGCAGGTGTGCAAGCACTTCCTAGAGGCTGTGGAGAAGAAGCAGTACGGGTGGTTCTGGGTGTGCCCCAACGGGGGCAAGGACTGCATGTACCGCCACGCGCTGCCGCCTGGCTACGTGCTCAAGTCACAGATGAAGGCTCTTCTGGAGGAGGAGCAGGCGAACAAGCTGACCGTTGAGGAGATGATTGAAAACGAGGTGAGGGCATAAGAGAGGTGCAGAGTGGTGAGGGTAGGCTGGGCAAGGCAAGGCTACGTGCTCAAGTCGCAGATGAAAGCTCTTCTGGAGGTGAGAGGGAGACAAGAAAGAGGCTAGAGGTGGGACATGAAGGCAAGGGGAGTTGAGGCATAGAGAGGGCGAGGGGCGTTGCCTCGCAAAGTGGCTGAATGCTCAATGTGCAGATGGAATGGAAGCTGCCTCCCTTTCCCTCCTGGCAGGGGAAGATGACCACCCTTCCTCTGGAGCCACATGCAGCTCACCACTGAGCAGTGGAAGTGGCAGACGCAGGCTGTGTTGACTTTTGAGTCGGCTGAGAATTCTCCAAAGTGACTCAAAAGTCACCTCTGGAGCCACATGCAGCTCACCACTGAGCAGCGGAATCAGCAGACGCAGGCTGTCATTTTTTTTTTCCGTCAGCCGCCCTTCTGCTTATTTCTCCTCTCTCCCCTATACCCATTTTTTTTTCCCCTCAGCGCAAGATGACAGCGAGTCACACGCTGCTGACGACCGAGATCTTTATGGAGTGGAAGCGGAAGCGGAAGCGGAAGCAGAAGAAGCAGATCGTTTCAAACTCAACCCCTCTTCACATCCTCCCGCTCTCTTTGAATATTTACGCTCCTCTCTCCCTTCTCCATCTCGCCTGTGCAGCGCAAGATGACAGCGAGTCACACACAGCTGACGACAGAGACCTTCATGGAGTGGAAGCGCAAGAAGCAGACCGTGTGCAAACTAGACCCCTCGTCACATCTTCCTTCTCTCTCCCTCCCTCTCCCCCCTTTGCAGCGCAAGATGACAGCGAGCCACACGCAGCTGACGACCGAGATCTTCATGGAGTGGAAGCGGAAGAAGCAGGAGGTGAAGGACGCTGAGCAGGCAGCCAAGAAGGCCGCACGCGCCAAGGAGGACAGAATGAGGTGAGCTGGGTAGAGGGTGCTGTGGGGTGAGGCGCATGGTGTGGTGACCCGCAGAGCAGTATGGGGTGAGGCGCTGAGCGGGCAGCCAAGAAGGCCCTGAATTTCCTGTCTTCTCTTCCCTGTGTCTCTCCCTTCCTTCCCTCCCTTCTGCAGTGGTCGCGAGCAGTTTCTGTCCGATGCCTCCCTCTTCGTGGACGACGATGCCGCA